AGGGCTATGGAAACACTGGCCAAGCAAGCCAGTGGGGAGGGCTGTGTGGCCACCCATGGCCTTCACATGAACCTGCAGTTCTGGTCTGTCCCCTGGATGTTTAAAGGCCTCAACCCAGGGACTGAGTTTAAAGGTATCTTGCAAAAGCAAACCAAAATCCTCTGTGCCAAAGGCAATGTGCTGAGGGCCTCCAGTGTCCTCAGGATGAATTTCAAGACCAGACAGCACAGAACCAGGTGGCCAGGCACACTCAGACACAACAGACGGCGAGTCACAGAAACCTCTGCTCGCCGTCCAGAGAAATAAAAGGCAAGTTCAACATTATCTTAAGGAAACAGCAAACTATAGGAGGTGACCATGCAACCTTGATGTAGCCAGTGGATTCTTACACACTGAAAGCAAAGCAACCAAAGAAACAATAACAAACTGTGTACTATCAAGTTAAGAACTCTGTGATTCAAAGGACACAATCAAGAAAGCAGGAAAAAAAAACATAGAATGGGAAAAAGTTTTTACAAATCATGTATCTCATAAGGTCTAGTGTGTACCCTATATAAAAGACCCTTATAATCCAAAAATGAAAGCACAAGTAACCCAATAATGAAATACTTTGTAATTTGTTTTTTCATGGGTTCAGAAAATTTTAAATTGCTGTATTGAGTCCTCTATTGCACTAACTTCTCTAATTAACTCAGAGCAAGGCTGATTATCTTCCTCTGAGTGTTATGTGCCTCTGGGGTCTTTCATTGGGTGGGACATTGAATTGGACACTTGTCAGAAGCTTATAACTGAGGACCATCAACATAAAACAAAGCCAAGGTACTCCAACTGAGAACTCATGCTCAGTAGCTTTGGTGGAAACAAAATCTAAAACACTACTTGATCTTGGTATTATCTTCCAGAGAAGCAATCTGACGGGACTGTGTTTCATATGCAGCAGACCACAGTGATCTGTTAAGTCAACAGATCCACCAATGGTTCCAGTAGTCAAAGGACCTACCCAAGGTCATGCTGCTGGTGAGCTGTAGAGCCATGACTTGAGCCCAGGCATCTGACTCCAGAGTCAGTCCTGCCCATGACCTGCCACAGGTGATTTCCCATCCATGGCTAGGAGCCAGAACCTGTCCCCAGGTGTACGTCAGAGTAGGTGACTCGGCCTGGTGAGCAGTGTTTGATGGCCAAAGTTCATGGTGATTTCAGGACCACATGAAGACCCCATTTATGTCTTTCCTGGAGGCGTGGGTTTCCTCCAGACACAAGTCCCAGCAGGGGCCAGAGCTGTGCTTGGTGGGTATAGTCCAAGGCAGTTTGCTCATTTTGGGCTGGGCTGAATTCTAAAAGCTTTTGGTGGCAGAAGCATGTCCTGAGGCACACTAGTCTCTGGGGTCTCCAGTGTGTTGGTTCTCAGAGCAGAAACTTAGCATGGTGGTCACTGGTTTTCTGAGCACTGAAACAGGGACTTGCTGCTTATGCTCTGGGCTTTGCACCTGGGATATGCGAGGCTTTGTGTTTTGTGTCATCACAAGCCACTTGGGGAGGGCCATTTCAAAGCTTCAGAGGCCAACTTCCTGACATCATTCTGGTAAGAAGTCTGTGGGTACCTGTTCAGGGGCTTGGCCGAGGACAGTGATGCCTCCTTTTGCCTGACACAGCAATAGTGAGGGCACCATACCTGGGTGAATGGGTACGCTAAGCCAGGGCCAAAGGTGAAGATGAACATTGACTTCCTGGATGCTAGGGCCTTTCAAGTTCAGCCCATAGTCTTTCACCAAGAATCTGCTTTGGGAAGTGGTTGGGCGAGCAGCACTGGCAATATGGCAGCGATCAGGGAGCGACAACAACCATGATCACAGGAGCGAACCCCTACTGTATGCCAGGTGCAGGGCTGAGAGCTTTCCAGCTCACCTCACTGAGCTCACTCAAGACTCTCAAGACAGTTTCTGATTCACAGATGATGAACTGAGCTCAGCAAGGCTGGGCTCCTCACCCAGGTCATACAACTAGAGTGGGGAGCTGGAACTTGAACACAGGCTTGTCTGATTCTAAAGCTGGGGTGCTAAAGCACTGATTAGCTACCTTGAAAACAGGCCCAGAGAGATGAAAAAGAATCAGGAGCTTCCACTGTACTCTGCAATTTCAGGGGAAGATTCCAAGGGACAGAGCGAGCTATGCAGGTCTTAAAGAAAAGAAAAGCAAAGTGATCCCTGTGCCTGGCAGCAAGGAAGACCATTAGAGCTCAGAAGGAGGGCATGGGCCCAGGGAGTGGTGGGCAGCAGTACCCTCCTTTCCCTGCAGCTTCTCTGAATAAAGGTAACATTGGTAGTCAACACAGCTTTTGCATTTTTCTCCTGGAAATGGATCTGTTCGTGTGGCAATGCAGGGCTGACCAGCCTGGCAAATGGTCGGAGCTTGGATCCAAAAAAGATGCTGTGGATTATTTTTTACCACTCTGACGGAACAATGGCATGTGTCCACCTGGTTTTATGACAGAACTTTTAAAAGATATGTGTCACCCAATTACTAGCACATTCCATGCCAGGGTAATAGCAGTGCCCCTCCACATCTACTCCATGCAAAGCTCTGGAAAGCTCTGTTTACCCCTTCCAGAGCTCCATTCAGGTGAGTCGTTTGTGACCATCACAAACTGTCCACTGCTGTGGCACAGGCATCATAATTGTGTGCTTGGTGCCAGAACAGGAACTGAGGAATATTCTTACCTCATCCGAAGAGCCATTTTCCACTCTGAATCTGCCTGCCCTCTGGATAGCTCCATCAGCATCACTGGAAATAAGCTAGGGGAAAAAAGAGCATTCAGTCAGTAGCTGGGCCACCATTTGCAATGCCCCTTCTGTCCAAATGGCTTCCTGCTATACTCAAGCCAAATCATACATGAGCTGATGGGCCCTGCCTTGAAGCTAAGGGCTCCTTTTAAGTCCTATCAGTTGAGTCCTCAGAGCATCAGTCCCTCAATCTTAGAAGTCTAAGAGTCAGGACCACATGGGCTGCAAGAGTGGAAAATGAGAGCATCAAATCCAAATCAGAACATTTTCCAAAACTGAAAAACATTAAAGCAATGGTCTGTGGAAAAATAATCTTTCATACACATCAAATGTGGACAAGCAGCGGCTCACAGATGGCAAAACTCAAAGCCAAGCATCAAGTTCAACTGCCTTCCCAGGGCAGCCGGAAGAACAATTAGTGGCTGGCAGGAACGCAAGGATCCACTAGTATCAGAGGAAGCTCTTGTGCCTCATTCAGTTTTAAACAGTTTCCAAAAGGCCAACACATGCCTTCCAGGTGGGCAGACTGTCTGAGTAATGGCAAGAGGGCACTTGCAGACGGATGGTCTTCAAGGGCTGTGTGCTAGGAGGAGGCGAGGGGGGAGGAGAGCACACGTGGCACCACAGTCCTCAGACTGCTCCCCGAGATGCTCTCCTAGATTTCTCAGAGTGACTTGGAAAAATGATCTCTCTTCTTTTAACCTTTTATATCTACCTGTAATTTTCAGCGAAGATCTGCCAACAACTTCCACACCCCAGACTTATTAGAATATGCTTGCTGTGGGTGGGAGGGGCGCATCCTACAATTCCATCTCAGGCTCACCCAGTGAAACAGAAACACTATCTTAGGAGAGATTTGCTATCTATTACTTTCACTAGTATTTACAAGACATGGAGATGTTAAAGTAAGAGAAAAATTTCAGAGAACCTCCCCACAAATTTTCCCAAGGAAAATTATTTGAGAAAGATTGGCACATTTTTCTCAAGATAAACATAAAAATAGTATTGAGTGTTTATTGAGTACTTATATGTGCCATCTATTCTTTTGCCCTTAATATGTATTATCTTACTTAATTCTTAAAATAACACAAGGCTGAAACTCTTATTAATTTCATTTATGAGCAAGGAAATCGAGGCAGAGAAGGGTAAATCAATAGCTCCCAGATAGCTGCCCAGACAGAGCTGGGAGTGAGCAAAGGCAGCCAGACAGTGGATGCCGTGATCCTCATCTAACCAGACCTTACTTGAAAGGTCCAGGAGGCCCAGTTTTCATATCTAATCTTTAACCTGCAAAGCAATTCCTAAAAACAAATAAAAAGATTTCTATGTATATGCCTGGCTATTGCTGGTAGCAGATCCTATACTGCTGATAAACTGAGAGTTTGCCTTATCCAAACAGAAGTCTGGCTTTACCCTAGGCTCCTGGGATATACCTTCTAAGCCTGAGGAATTTCCTGTGTCTCTTCACATAGGGGCCTTGAGCCACACTAGATAGTAAGTAACATTGTGGAATATGGTGAGGGCTCCCGTTCACATAGTACAGGTCTCCCATGGAGGGGCTGGAGGCTAAGGACAGCCACACGGTGGTCAGCCATATCCTCATGGTCAGGCCCACTGAGGACTCTGGATCCCGCGGCTCAGTGAGTTCTCCAAGTGCACTGCCACACATTGTTGCCAGCAGGGGTTGTTGCTGCTCAGGTCTCCAGCTGGAAGCTCTGCTTCTGGACCCTCCTGGACTCTGCCCTGTCTGATTCTCGTCTGTATCCTTTGGCTGCCACTTGAACGTAAGTGAGCTGAACAGCTTTTGGTGAGTTCTGAGTCCTTCTAGGCAATGATTGAAACTGAGGGTGGTCCTTGGGCCCAAACTCTGCACTTGGTGTCAAGTGAGGCTGAGCTTGTGGACTGTTCTCTGACTTTACAGAGGCCAATTCTAAAGTACAAGAGCAAGATTGATTTGGGTCTCTGAGGGTCATTGTCATTTCCACAAGGTAGTGTAGAGGACTCGGCACCAGTGTCATCCTTGCTGTAGGTGTGCACTCACTGTTAAAGCAGAAGGAGCAGCAAATAGGATCCAAGTTGGGTGTCACTGGTGTAGACTGCCTCAAGGGCTCTGGGAGAGCCATTTTGCGATCATATCTGGACTTAGCAAGAAAAGAGTGCTATAATTAGCTAGTAATATCTCACAGGTATATGAGAGGAGTGTACTCTCCTTGTTATGCCTAAAATAGAGGTGGGTAGATAAAGTCTTGATGATAGCTTGTTCCATCTAGGACTGGGGAGAAGAGCGACCATCTTTCACCAATCCACTCATTCACTCTTAAACCAATACAAATTAAAAGTCTGCCATTATGTTCCAGACCCTGTCAGGCACAAGCAACCTTGCCTTTTCCTTTGCTGATGTTAGAGTAAGAAGCATATGGCTCGCCTTGCTTAAGAAGTTCAGAAAGAAAGGAAGAACACAATTGATGATTTGATGGATAGAAGGAATTTAGCTCCCTGTGAACTTAGGAGCATGAGTTCCCCATCTCTCCTTCACAGTCTGCAAATAAGTCACCATCATCTTTCACCTGGATGACTGTGACAACCTCTACTGGTCCAGACACCTCCACCACTGCTCCTCAGCCACAATTCCTCATAACACCACACCATGCTGGGTGGTTTTGGCAAACTGCTTGCTCATCTGTGCCTACAATCCACTTCCCTGTAGCACCCTTTCTTCCCACCAGAGGGCGTGTGCGTGTGCGTGTGGTGCACCAAAGTACGGAGACCCTTTGGCCCACCTCCCCCATCCCCAGTTCCCCCAGTGAAGCCAGCTCATTCTTCAGACCTGCCAAGTCCCCACTACTCCAAGATCCTTCACTGACCTCACTGCCCAGGGAAAGGATGCCCTGCAAATTTCCAAGTACCCCGGGGAGTGATGTTTTCCCTTCCTCAAATGATCACTTGGTCCATCATCAGCTCTCCTCCAACACTCCCTCTGCCCCCCAGAGCTGCATGAGGACAGCCGGTATCCCCAGAGCTAAGCATACCACCTGCCATAGTGCAGACACTCATCAAGCATTTATGAACAAGAAATACACAACTAAATGAAGGCTGAAATCCTACTGAAAGCGACAAAAGAAATATAAAAACAGGGGCAAACCTGTGAAACCAGAGAGGATTCGTTACTTTTGTGTGAGAAATGTCACAGAAATCTACCAGGTTCATCATGTGGGAAAGACAAAGTGACAGAAGGGCCACATAGCTCGGGAATCACTATGGCAAAGGAAGTCAACCTGGTGGCAAATTCATCAAATCCTGTGGGTTCACACTCACACCCTGTGCACACGCTGGCGAGTGTAGGGTGGCCCCTGAGGGTGGAAGGCCTGCCAGTCACTGGGCTGACACAGAGTGGCAGCCCCAGCATGCCCCACCCAACCCCACCCTACAGCTGGCTCGGGCAGCTGTGGCGGCCTGCCTGATGAAGACTGGCACACCAGCTGAGGCAGGAGGAGACCGAGCCAGCAAACTAAGGGACAAAAACAAACCACACTAACACTGCAGGAAAACCCCTGTAACGGAAGAGAGGCTGTAGCCAGGAGCTGTGTCAGCCAGTTCTCTTTCAGTCACTCTTCACAGACCTCTGATCTGGCCACCAAGACCACACAAAGTCTACACTCTTCCCTTTGCTGAAAGATTTGACTCAGAAAAGTCAGTTTCTACTGGAACCATTTAAATGTCCAATACCACAGTGCAGTTCACCCTGTATAGTTAAGGTTCCAGCTGTCATCAATGTGAGTGGACAATGCCATTCACATTGTCCTCCAGTGACAGAAATGTACCTGGACACAAGGCTGGACCTCAGTCCCCTGAGGTGGCCATCTGACAGTTCTCTCCATTTGTAGGTGGGCCAAAGTCCTGGGTGGCATTTATATTATAGACTTAGGCCTTCCAGGAGAGAGGCAATATCTCCCCTGCACCCTTTCTCTTCCACTGGCTAGAACCCCCATAACCAGAGGGGTCCTGGAAGCTCACATTGAAACCCACAGGAAGACAGTGGCTCATCTCAAGCCTGAGTTTGGGAGCACAGCCACCTCCCACTTCCAGTACCTGGCTGGATGTGAAAAATAAATCAACGTGCTGCATTCCACTGCACTGCGATGTTCCAAGCCAACTATTACCCTCATGAGGCAGGAAAAAAAAAAAATCACTGGTCTTATGACAAGCTCATAATTCAAAAGGTGGAAACTGACCTGAAGTATCAAAGCAAATGTTCTATAAAACAGATTTACTACCTAAAGCACAAGCATATTTTAGAAAGTCTCTAGTTATTGCAAAAATTTTGGGGTGAACTGCATGTATGAAAATAATCTGTAATTAGCTTACAGATGAAGTGCATTGATTCCTGGATTTTGAACAGCAGCGGCCACCATGAACCAAATCACTGATGCTAAGAAGAAAATAACTAGATTATCAATTTGACACAAATAGAGGAAAATGATGATAAAAACCAGAGACATGCCTGGGGGATGCATGAAGAATGACCCATGTCATGAAGGTGGTCTGTGGGTAGAGCCCAGAAGGAACCAAGTCACCCCTCAGACCCACCTGCTCCTCCAGCATGGCATCTGCTATCGAGTGAGGCCGAAGCCCGAGAAGCCTCCTGTGTTGAACACAGTTGGGCCTGAATGACAGGGGAAGAGGGCAGACAGCAGACAGTCTGCCATCTGACCACTCCGGAGCCAGCAGCAAGGGGCAGGTGGGTCAGGTCTCCTCTCACCTGAGAGCACATGGGGCCCTTGGTTAATCTTCAAGGAGAAGTGTCCAGAGAAGAGATTTTTTCAAATAAGTGCTCTGTCCTTAAACACAACACTGCCTCTTCAGGAGTTCAGTGGTTCATGAAGATTTTTTTTTTAAGCTGGTATTGGGGATTGAACATAGAGGTTTTGCAAAAACAAATTATCCACTCTAAGTACAATTTTAAAAATATTTATTTTTTAGTTGTGGTTGGACACAATATCTTTATTTATTTA